TATTTAAATCTTCAAGTGATTCCTCATATCTATTATTCTCAATATTTATAATTCCGCGAAGCTTTAGTGCCCATGCATTGTTTGGTTCAATTTCCAGCGATTTACTTAAATCATCTAATGATTCTTTACATTTTCCCATGGAATAATATACTTCTCCACGTAGTCTTAATGCATAGGCATCGTTTGGTTCAATTTCTAAATATTTTCTCAAATCTTCAAGCGATTCTGGATATTTTTTAGTTTTTAAATAAATTGCACTACGTTGCTTTAATGCCCATATATCATCTGAATTTTTTATTAATAAATTATTATAAATTCCAAGCAATTCATCGCTTTTCCATATTTTAGAATCAAATCTTCTGACACTTGAAACAATTTTACTCGCGGCAGTAATCTTAAGTCTAGGGTAGTTTTTTAAAAGTAACTCTTTTCTCTCTATTGAAAAGCATGAATTTTTACTTAAATGTAAAACAACATCAACAATTCGATTACTTTTGTAAAAAATAGATTCAAAGAACTGATCCAATAGTTGGATTGTGAAAACTTCTATACAATCAAAGGACAATTGAATTGAATATTTAGGGCTTTTGAGTGGACTATTTGCAAAAAGAGAAAGAGCACTATATAGATTTATTTTTCTATCAAGGTAAATTTCAAGCCTCCTTAATGGAGTATTAGTTCTGTGAATTTGAATAAGTTGTTCCAATGAATAAAGTGGAATTGTTAAATATTCAAGGTTTATCACGTTGTGCGTAATAATTTCAACAAGTTGAGTAATATCGTGATGAAATTTATTAATTTCAACAAAATTAATAAGATTGAAATGAAAATTTGTATACCAATCAAGTTTAATTCTTTTAAGTGTATTGCAACTTTTCATAATGAGATCAGATAATAATTTAATAAGAGGCATGTTTTTTATAATGTTAAAAGCATCATAAGAATATTCGAAAGATGTTAAGTTCGAAAAGGCAGTGTCAAGTACATATGAATTTAGCACGTCACAGCTTTTAAACTTCAATTTATCGATCTTTGTACACTGAGCCAGTACATTGATAGCTCTACTATTTAATTGACAAGTAGTATAAGAAAAAACTATTGCTTTAAATGTTACACTTTTAAGTGAATGTTCCGGATCCAAGAGAACTTTAACAGGAAATGATGCAAAATTACTGCCAATCAGTGAGAACTTTTTTAAATGCTTTTGAGAGCGTATAAGAGCCGCTAAAGCTATTCCTTCATTTTCAGAATAAATACTAGCTTTAAGGTTTTCAATATTATGACAATTCTCCGCTATGGCATTAAAAAGTTGTATGTTTTGTTCTATCCATTTATAGCTGCAGTTGAAATAGGTCAATTTATTAAATATTGAAGTGCATAAAAAATGAGTGAGAACTAATGACTTTAAATTTTTTGGGTCATTAGTATCATACTTAAGCCGGCTATGGACATCAAGTCTGCGTAATCTTACTTCATGCATAATAAACATTTTAAATAATTCAATTATAATATCTTTATTGCATTTGTTTTCTATAGCTGAATTAATGAATTGATCATATGAAAGCTCTTTAAGAAATGATGGATAGTTAAACAAAAGAGGCCTAGCAATCGACAGCCGAATTCTTCTCTTATATCCTAATCTGAGAAAAGTACTATCTGGTATAAATGCAAGATAGATTTTTATCACTTTGAAAAATTTAATATGCTTGTCTTTACTTTTGAAGGGTGCTTCCCATAAAATTGGAACGGCGCATGTAGCCCAATGTTTATTAACCAAAAGGCAAGAATGCAAATCTTTATTAGTTGGAAGAAATCTAAAAATAATATCAAAATATTCTGGTGCAAATATTTTATCCATTATATTGTTCGAAAACTTAGAAATACGGGGTTATGGTAATTTTTTCAAAGTTGCAGTAGGTGTAAACTTATGCGTACATTCATTTGTACTCTTTTTTTTCTAGGCGTAACTCGTTTATAGTTTTGATTATTTGGTTACAGTATGCATGTGGGCGAATTTTAATTCCATTTAAAGTGGACTATAGATGGCGGTAGAATTCAAAAAAGTAAATTTTAACAATGAAAATGATTAATAATCATTATTATATGAATTCTACAGCAGCACAAAATTTGAGTTCGATGTGGCAAACTTTTTTAATTATAAAAAAAACGAATAATCAAGTTAATGTAAAAGAAACTTGCACGATACTGTTTCTAAAGCACATTACGAGACTACTGATATCACCCATTACTTTAATCAATCAAAATCGTAAAATTTACCAGGAACGTAGTGAAACGTTTACAGCCAACTAACTGCGTACAAAATCTCGCCCGCTATTGGGCAGCGTGTTCAAATGACCATTGCATGTGCATCCTTTTTCGTTTTTATTTTTACCCATAGTTATGGTATTAAATGATTTGTACGTATGATCTGATCTGGTTCCGTTACCACACGACGTGACAATTAAGTTTCGCTTTCAGAATTTTGACATAAACCCCAATTCACAGGATCTTTAGCATTTTTCTTTTTTTTTTTTTTTTTTTGTAAGACTTTTTACTGAGTTAATGAATTGATAATCACTGATCACCAAAGATGTCATTAGTGTCCACAACCTGAATGATGCATAAGCGTTTCGCAATAATTGTAGTGATAAGCTATTGTAACCATTGATGGGAGTAGTGTTTTGAACCGTTCAACCGAAAGTTCAACCGGGACTGATCCGGGTAGACTTACGGGTATTCCCAGCCAATCGCTAATATTTGTTTACATCGGGTAAAATAGGATTGACACATCCTATTTCTCGAGGTAAGAACGTCCCAAATATGGAAATGATGATCCGATTGTTACACAATTGTTAAAGAAAATTTTTTATACGTGTAACAATACTTTTTTAGGAAGCTCGGGTAGATAATCTTTCTTGTAAAATGATTTAAGTTCACTAAGTAACCTTGAAGCTTTCGTGCCGTACTATGATAATATCAGATGAATCCCTTTGAATCCCTCGACCTTCATATTATAATTTACCTGCCGAAGTTATAAGTAATTAATAACTTCTGCGTCAACAAAATCTCGTTTGTTGAGCAAAAAAAAACGAATAAACATAAAATAATGGTTAACAACGATAGCGTAGGTGAAAGGAATTAGGTTGTATATGTTTTTATTATACGTGCTGTGTAGAAATCTTTTAGGAAATCGAAAATATGCGAATAATATTAATTAACTATGTAATTTATCAATATTATCACTATAGGTGTTTTTAAGATACGATAAGTTTATATATATGAAGTGTATTAAAATTACAAAAATCTCTTATAAGAATGATAATTGTATAAAACAGTATAGTGTAAAAGATTAGAAATTTGAGTAGACATAGAATTAGACGTAGAATTAGATATAGAGTTGGACGTAGAATTAAATATATATACGTAGATTATTATTTATTATTATTGAAGTTTTGTAAACTAAATACTATGAAAAAATTAATAATCTTGATTTAAATTAATAAATACATGCTGCTTACTTAATAGTAACATTTAATGGTATTTATTTTGAGCTTTAGCTATAAATTTTAATTAAATTTCGTTCTTTTCATTTTATAAAAATTTACAATTTGATTGGTTAATCAACATGTGATATTTTTCACATGATAAAAATTTACGATTTTAATTGGATAAACTAATATGCATGATCGGGATCATCCTTTCCTTATTTGGGACGTTCCTATTTCACCCAATGTAAACAAACATCAGCGATTGGCTGGGAATACCTGTAAGTCTACCCGGATCAGCCCCGGTTGAACTTTCGGTTGAACGGTTCAAAACACTAGATGGGAGAGCTTATGGAAATAATACAAATAAAAGACCAATTTAACTTCAACGGTGTACGAGGAGATAAAGACAAGTTAGAAGCGGAGAAGAGTGCCTTTTATACTTGTTGAAAGACTAGCTAGACAATATGACGTTACGAGACGAATGCCTTAATATCAATGGGAATCATTGGGGTGATGCAATGACGGGTGGTGCTGTTAATAGTGATGATCAAGAGTGATATCAAGGGCAGTGATGATGATCTTAAGGACGATAACGATCTTAAGACAAAAATATATTACATATTTGGAATTATTTTATGACCTTATTACAGACTATGTGATCCTCAGTGCAGTATTCCGATGATGATCTTAAGGACGATAATGATCTTAAGAAGAATAATGATTTTAAGGGCGATGATGATTTTAAGGACGATGATGAGGATTCTAGTGATATCTTTTTAAGGATGACGTAAAAGCGGACGATGATCAAGTCAGATCAGTGATAACTTTAAGTTCACGTGATGTATCAACATAGTTGAATAACTAATCGTAAGTGTCGTTCTCTACCACAATTTCCACAAGTCACTAATGTGAATGGCAATATCTGATTCCACGAAGATACCAGAATTCGAGTCTTAATAAGCCAGATTGAAGTTACAAGTCAATTCAGTCCGTAGAATTGAGTCTATTAAAGTTACAAGTCGAATTCAAAGACAAAGTCTCAAAGGAAATTCATATAAGTATATACTTTATTGGTGGTAATTGAAAGTGGATATGAAAGAACTGTCCTTTTGTTTATTGAATTCAAAGCTCTTATATACATTTTAATTTTCAAGAACGTAGACACCGAAATTTTAACGTTTACACCTAAATTCCAACATGTACGTAAAATTTGGGTGTATACACCATAAAAATAACGTACACACCGAAAAATTTTAAGGCGCAGTCTTTGTGTAATCACGTATACGCGATTTTTTCGGTGTTTGCGTGATTCATTTGATTCCCATGCAGCTAAACCACTAAGCCACCTCCAATTTCCATAATAGAATAATTGATTAATATTTACAAAGAAATAGAATAAAGTCGATTACTGCTATGAAAATGGAATTGTACTAAAATCATATACATATTTAGAAATAAATTAAGAAAAAAAATTTTTTTATTCTATTGAGTTACTAATAAACACAATTAAGATTTATCGGTTCTGTTCAAAATCCCGTTATCCAAAATCACAAAATTTATTATAGCATCGTGTGTGTCGGAAACAATATTAAAACCCCGATTATGATTAGTAATCATGATTAGTAATCATAAGCGGGTTTGAATATTGGATCCCCAACATCACATGACATGATAATTAAGTTTCGTGATTTTGGGATATCGGGATTTTAGGGTAGAGCCAATAAATCTTACGGTGCTCATCAAAGTACCTAATAAGATGTTACTATGTTAAAATTTTAAAGAAAAAAATAATAATACAAATATAAAAGATTGATATTGTGTTGTTATCGTTATAAAAAAATATGATTCGATTTAATTAGATGGTTATTGAGAAATAAAAATTTAAAGTTTAATAACATCAATTCTAAATGCTTAACATTAAAATTTAATTTCGCAACATCTGTCTTATTAAATTAAGTCAAATGTTTTGTCATAATTAGAAAAATGCTAGATTGCTAATATACTAATTTTTAAAAATTTTTAATCTTGAAAATTATTCGATATACGTATTACTTAAAATCAATTTTTAGACGATTTTTTCTATTTTTAGGGATCATCTAAAGCAAGATAGTTTTTAAGTTTATTAATAATAAACTAGTATATGACCCGTCGCTTCGCTGACGGTCTAATTTTATAATATAAATTTAAAGTATATTTGGTAATAAAAATATAAAATAAACTATTCTGGAAGTA